TTACAAAATGTCATGCTATGGAAAATAATTTAAATAATAAACCAATCAACGTAGCAGCAGTTCTTTTTCTAGTTACAGTAATTGATACGCAAAAGACATCTCATTTCAGACAGAATTTTGAAAATTTTTATTTTTTTGCTTTCAAACATTCTTATCTTTAAAAGTCAGAATTTGTTTGCATCCATGTTTTTGTAGTTTGAACATTGAACCTAAGAAAATCACTTCTAATTAAAGTGAAACAATAGGTTATCAAGAGAAGAGAACCAGGAAATACAAGTAATGCCGAAATTCTTCTATAATAAAAAGTGTACTGTACTGTATATTGTTTTTACTTGGAATATTTGTTTGTTGAAAGACGCGCCTTTTTTGAGAACGTCACTCGACGAGGAGCAAATTAAACTTTACACAATAAATTAATAGTTTTTTGCACCGTGGAAAATTTTCACAAGGAACTCACTTTGGAATTGAACATTCCCTTCATACAAGGACAGCATACTGTATGAAATCCACCTACTTACTAAAAAAAAATTGTTGTCTTTTTTCTCTGTTCGGGATAATTTCTGTCGAGTTTCCATTTGAAGTATAGGGGAGAAATTTCCGGCTTTTGTGCCAACAGTTTATTTGAAAAGATAAATTAATTAAAAGGATAAATGACTTTGACTGACACGTGAATTGGCATTTCTGTCGTGGTTTCATGCACAGTTGTTTGGATGGAACCTTTTGGGAAAAATGTACTATTTTCATTGAATTTTCGAATCAATAAAGAAAAGCGTATGGAATTTCTTCGGAGGTTATTTCCATTGGGGTGCGTGTTTATTCGTCAAAATTCGACTGAGAAACTGAAATTGAATCACGTTTCAGAGAGATTCTGCCGATATATACAGCATTTCTTCATACATTGTATATAGGGTTGAAGTAATCGAAATTTTAAAAATCCTGTCTTATATGTGTGGCATGCGATGAAAAATATTTGCAAGCTTCATTTCGGTTGTGTATTTTCTCTGAAGAAGGATTTTATCTTCAGGGGACCGTTGCCCGATCATGAATTGGATCCGGACTCGTGGCAAACCCACTGGGGAACCTCGCTGGTCTCGGACTGGGACATAATCTACGGGATCGTGAACTTTGAGAAGGAAACCCCTTCGTCCACATCGTCCTCGAACTTCTCCTCCAATGGCTATGCTCACTCCAAAACTCGTTTCTGGCCCAAAACCAAAGAGCCGCCTCAAGACGTCTACCCGATCGGACGCTTGAATATTCAGGACTTGATCGAGGCGGCCAGGTATTTAATTTTAATTACGGTTTTCGATCATCGCGATCAAAATACGGTCCCTAGACGGACTCGACCAGTCCATATTAAGCCTGTAATGTTTTTGTGTTAGCCTTTTTTTGACGATGAACAGATTAAGTGATCAATTAATGAGGGCCGTTGGGCGACTGTTAAATTCGATTAGCTTCTGAATTCCACCTGAATCTCAGCCGCATTTTTCAAAATATTTTCAGTAAATTTAGTGAATTGGCATTTTTAGCTGCGTTCTGTTTAACGAATAAAATTCTTATAGGTTACTTTTCATCCAAAATGGAGACCAAGGTTAATTTTGACAATAAATCGTGTTTTTGCGAGATAAACTGACATTTCTGTAGGTGATTTCCAAAAAGCTGCAGAAAATGCATATTCTAAAACTGTGCTGACGTTAAATTCAAGTCCCGAACCAGAAATATTTACTAAATTACAAAATGTCATGCTATGGAAAATAATTTAAATAATAAACCAATCAACGTAGCAGCAGTTCTTTTTCTAGTTACAGTAATTGATACGCAAAAGACATCTCATTTCAGACAGTTATGATCGAATATAAATGAAATTATTGATGTCTGAGGAAGTTCCGTTAAATCTTATTCGTGGTCAACCCGATAGCAGCGTGATTCGGGGAAGCAAATGAATGTACAGAATTATTTGATTAATCCACTACTGAACTGATTCAACGTAAATTAAATATTGTGGGTAAAGAATACCTGTATACTATAAGAGTTTTGATGAGGATTCGCCTCTAAGAAAACCCCCATGTTAAACCAGAATTACTGTACAGGTGCTCTAATGCAGAACCCTGAATGTCATGCACTGCCCTTTATTCCCGAAGGAAAGCCGCGATTTCCAGAAACAAAATTACAAGAAAGTTTTCTCAATGATTTTCTTATCAATGACATCAATTAAACGCGGGATAAAGAATTCAGTTACTGGGAAGTATGGTTCTTTTCAAAGCAATCATTGAGACAAATAAACGCGCTATTTTAATGACAGATATATTTTAAGCAACATCAAGAGGAAATGAAAAAAAAATTAAGATTCGGCCAAGTGACAAAATCAATGTTTCCTTCGTTGGTTGATTTTCTCTTCTAGGGTGAAGTTTTTTTAAACTTCACTAGCCTGGTTCGATTTGCGTAATGGTCGGCTTGCGACGGAAGCCAATCAAGGAAAAAAATTGTTGGCAATCGAGTGCAGTTGAGTTTTTATATTTCAAACTGCTTTCTTCAACAACTTGAAAAGAACTGCTGTCTGCATCTGCAAACGTAGCTTATAAACGCACTCCCAACAAAATAAGGCGCCGAAAATAATTACACCGTCCAACAAGTTTTTTTACAAACTGTTCTTCAAGGAAATGGAAATCTGTCATAAATTTGGCTTTCACAGGGGGGTCTCTTCAATCATGAGACATCAGAACCCCTGACTTTCCATCCACTGAATATATTTTGTTTAGGTAGCAAAATCAATGCATCGTTACATTTTTGTCATTCCCCTGTCAATTTGCTCCAAAATTTTTACCTAGGAACTTTTTTTTCCGCGTATATAAGGGTCTTTTTGATTTTAGATCAATTGTTCTTTTGGGTTCACAGAATGCATTAAACTCTCCACCATTGAAGTCTATGGAAAAATATGATTTTGTGAACAAACTTTTTGGTTTACAAACTTTCATCTTGAACTAATTGAGTTTGATAACCAAGGTCATTTATTTTATTTATTACCTAGCTTTAAAAAATTCGCTGAAATGCTTGAGAGACACGATGTCTTTCGTGATGCCCCGTTTCAATTTCGGCGAGAGACCCGTGAGTATAATCGCGGAAACCGAGCGATGAAAACCGGAACCCGTCAACTCGAGATTTTTCGACGCGTTTGAAAATCCCTTCGCGTGTCTCCCCGGAGAACAATAGGAGAAACCCTCCCATGCCCGCGGGCGCTTCAGCCCGAGATATCAAAAGTAGCTAAGCATTACAGGCGTCCCAATTATGAGAAAATCCCTCCGGGGGGTACGACATCCGAGAAAACGCGCCTGCCTAGAAACCTCTGCAAATCTGGCGGAAATTGGGAATGGTCCCCTGGGAACATCTCGCCCAGAAACGACGGATTTTCAAGGGAGAGAGAACACGAGTCTCGAAAGCCGCTCCGAGTTCTGAGAAGAAATGACCCAAGTCCTTTCCGCATGAAGGCCTGCTCTTTATTGGTGCCTCCGCCTGCGAGAAAGTTTCGTTTCCGGAATTGAAAGCGCCTGTGAGAAATTGAATGCCAACCCATTACGCTTCCACATGCGTTTCGACGCGGTAACATTTGTTATTCCGACTACAGTACAGTACGAGGACAGCACATGCAATACTGTATATATACTGTATATATAATATATATATTATACATATATACTTACGCGTGGCGGCAAGAAACTGCAGGAACCAGCGACTGATTCAAAATTCAAATCAGAACCTTCCATACTCGCACGAAATCTTGCATTTTTGAAATTGTATAGTCGTGCCAATTCAATCGACCTTTATATGTTGCTCCGATTATATAGTCTCTCGACACCTATTTTTGAATCGATAATTTGTTGTCCCACTTTCGTTCCAGAAGAGCTGAACCTCGATAACTGATGAGATCTCTCGAAATCAAATGTATCTCTGTATACGTCACATTTTTTTTCAAGTCCCTGTTTGAATTCCCCTTGAAACAATAAATTAAAAACCTACCTAACTCGAAGGCTTATAAATACTCCCTTAAACTTCCAAAAGTCGAATTTTGGCTATTATTCTATGTATTAACACAGGGAATAGAAACGCAATAAAAATGTAATATGGTTTGTTTCGAAAGTAGGTGAGAGACAAATTGGGCAAATGAACCAATTGGTCCTAGGTGAGCATTCTGTCAACTCATGCCAGAAGTAATTCGAGGCCTCGAATATCACTGATTAGACAATATTCTGTCATTATTTCTTCTTTTCCCTTACAAATTTCTCGTTTTCCGAACGTGAATTTTTTGCTGGTCCCGTGATTTTTTACTTGAAGGAGGTTCAACTGTAGTACCGTTGAAACGCCGAAACTTTAAGTTTTCGCCCCGTGTCAAGAGCGATTATATTCTTTGCTTTGCACCAGATATTTATCTTATTTAAATGTCGTTTAAATGACACCCAGCAAGTCTTTCTCCTGAGTTTCTTGTAAAAGAATCGTCCATTCTTTAAATGATCAGTTAACTCATGGTATTATTACAGATGAAAGGAAAATGTACCAGGGACCGCTCTTCTCATTTTGATGAAAATCGCCGCATTCCAATGGACAGTGAATGATCTAAAGTTTTTTCATTTCATTATTGCTGATGGCATTTTCATTCGATGAAATGGTAAAGATCAGAGAAAATCTCGGCGAAGAATGAAGTTGAATGCTAAAAGCGTTGATTTTAAATATTTACAGTGGATTTCTTCTGCGAAATCTGTGCTATAGAATTCCGTGATGTGTTTATATGAAGTTGCTTCTCGCATATACGCTTTTCTCGATCAGGTCGTCTCACTTTTTTTCAATGTTTCATTTTATTCGGGACGCTTTTATATACTGCACTCGAGTTTCATTAACTCGAGAATTTTCTTGATTGTATATAACACTGCTTTAAGGCAATCGTTTTTTTTTTGTATGATATTTTTTACAGGCAAATAATAGAGACGGATCCGTTGGTAAACAAGTCACTGGTCGCCATCTGGGGCTGGGGAAAAGGTGGTTTCATCGCACTGCAAACCCTGGCTCGACTTCCGCTGAGTTTGGTCGGCTGTGGAATTGCAGTCGCACCCGTGACCAGCTGGGTGGATTTCAGTGAGTCTCGTTTAAATTGAACTTTATCCTATTCCGGCTAAGCTTGCTCTTATGCATGAGTTTTTCATCGTAACATACAGTATTTGTTTTGTTTTGTTTTGTTGCGCATCTGATGGTTCAAGAGGAGGATTTCGATATACACGTCGTCGCGGGTTGTTAGTTTCAGCTAGGAAGCTTCGTAGATCGTCCATTTCCTGTTTCTCTGCGTCTTAATGTTTTCTTTATTCTTTTCCTGCCGACATGTAGATGCATTCGAAGCTGAGAGCTATTGGGGAACACTGGGAAGCAACACGAGGACAATATACAAAGACATGAGCTTGGAGCCTCTGGCGGCTCAATTCCGCACGAAGGAATTGTATCTTCTGCACGGCACGATGGATGCCACTGTTCCTTTGGAGCAGACAATGTTGTTTTCTAAGCAGCTGATTGCCAATCACGCATTTTTTCATCAGCAGGTGAGAGCCTTTTTTTTTTGCACACTTGTCAAGTAACTTTAAACCTCATCGTGAAACGTCATCACATGAGTCACATCATGTGATTTTGAGCAATGATTTCTGGGAGAAAAAAGCTGCGCAAATATAAAGCTTGCTTGATATTTCTCTCAAAATTGCCATTTTCTGTAACATTTTTGTAACTTAGAAAGAGGAGGAGTCGCATACGAAGGTCATAAACATTGCTCGAATATGAATCAATAACATATATTTCAATTTTTCCATGCTCAAAAAGTACTCCGGAAAAATAGGCGCACCGAATTTTCCGGGGATGGATAACCTATAATATTACCTATAAATTTGATGAAGCAAAAGTAAACTTCTTCTCTATTTTGCATCGATAAAACTGGGATAAAATTACGATGGAAACTCATGAGTGAAATTCCCGATAAACTATTCGTAGATTTTTCGCATCCATCATGAAAGTAAGAGCGTCGTTCTCAAAATTACTGTACTTGCAGATATTTCAATATTTTGAAAAAATAATTGAAAATTACGAAAATTAATTCATGAAAGAAGACGATTCTTTGGAAGTTGGGTATATTTTATGCTCTAAAAACTACTCGCCCATCACGACAACCGGAAAAGGTTCCACATGCATAACCTCACTCCGAATCTCTTTTTTTTTTTCAACCCAAGTTGAAGAATCTCCAACTTGATATCAGTTTGCGTCATCGTGACGCTCTTCGCACGGGTTTCATTTTTCGGATCATCGAAGCATTTAATTTTGTCTTTGATGCTCAAGATTTATGCTGGCGAGGATCATGATATGCGTGGCGTAAGAAATCATCTTTTCCGATCCATGGAAACATTCCTCGAAGATTATTGCAACTTCAAACGTCGAAGTCCGTTCGGAGGTTCGAGCCACCGGAAGAAGTCCTGGAACGCGAATCCGGCCACCAAGTTTGAAGGCTTTGAAAATAGCCGCCGGTGAAGCCGAAGAAAAAAAAAAAAACAAGAAGAAACAATCTCTTTTTGTCTTAAAAAAAGTGTGAAACTTTCGGGAACGAAACTTCTGTTACATTTTCTGTTTATTTTGTTTTTTATTTGTTTTCGTAAATGCGAAGGAAAGCAGTTTTTCTCCTGTCACATGCCCTCCTTTGTTCGGGGATGACACTCGTGTTAACGTCGCATATGGTGATTGCTGTGCTCGAGTTGCCAACGAAGTACGTGAACCGTTTCCGATGATGGCGAGGACGATGACTGAGTTGACTCAGAGAAACTTTAAATATGTTCTTTTTAGCTTTTGATGTGGCGCCTGGGAATTCGATGTGATTTTTAGAGGTCTATATCGTCTGCAAAAATTTCCCCATCGAAATTTCATTTCACGAGCTGCTAGACGACCCAGAAAAGCGTGCTTATGAAGGAAACTCTGTCAAATTAAAGTGGCATAATTGAAAAAGCGGGAGGAAATCCTGGCAAATTGAAGTGTCTGGCCACTAGGGGAAGTCAAGTGAAGTGAATCGTTCTGTTATTTCTTTGAAAATCCCAGTCATTCCTTATTGTGTAAAACTGTAAAATAAAAGACGATAATCTTTCTATGACGCAATAAATTCCTCATCGCTCACATTTCGTTAAATAAAAATCCATGTTGCGATGATACCACTGACATCCTCCTATTTTCACGGCATTATCTTCGAGTCCTTCATAAAATAGCTCCAAGAAGTGATGTATTTTTTCACGCTCTTCTTCTGTATCATGCAGGAAATGAACTCTCTGATGACTGGAATTTTTCCATCCCCGCACGACATTGTTCTAGTTTTCTTTAAATAAATTCAAAAGTATGTGCAATTCGTAATCATTTGAAATCTTCGCATTATTGCGAGTCTAAAAGGTAGCGCGTAAACCAGCAAGCATATTTTCGAAAAATATGCATAGAATTCAAAGATTTATTTGCTTGGCAAACGTGTGCCACGTTTTTATCCCGAAATGAAGACGCCATATAATTTTGCTTCATCCACACGGATTGTGCTGAAATTTCGCGCAAATTATAGCTTCGCGAACCCCGTTTTAGACGTACAATTTTTAAAAGACGATTACGGATTGTTGATCTCATGATGCGTCGGTACTCGAATAGTAAACGCTTCCAAAATTGTTTCGTACGGTGTTTTGTCGGCGTATCTGCTATTGATGAATACGTTGCAAGTTACCTTCCAGTGATCAGTATTGATTGTATTCTTTGTATGAAGCTAGTCGAAACGGACGCGGAAGAAGGGAAACTTTGTGGAAGATGGGTTGGAAATGAAGTTTGATGGCTTGTATACGTATGGTGGCCTCATTATTTTTGGATACTACGGGGCATTCTTTTTAATAACTGTAATTTAATTATATTTGTCACATTTTACATGTTTTTTGAATGACATAATGCCCCCTGGAAGTCGAATAATGTGCATGCGTCTTTTTGTTTTCTCACTGTGGGTGCACAGAGTCATGTGTTCCACAAGTCGCATGTTCAGAGGCAGGATTTTTCAAAATAAAAAATAAGATCCTGAATTGAATACTGTTTTATCTCAATATAAAGAAGCCCCTTTTATTCACCAGTGGCATCCTCCTAAATCGTTTCTTGTACAAATTTTCTTGCCATTAAAAACGTGGGAAATTTCAATCCGATGCCGCATCCACCAACATTATTTGCCACGCGAATTTTCAATATTTTTTCTTCAAGACACCACTAACATTTACCAACAAATACTGCAACCAATCAATGTATCGAATATCCACTGTACAAGGTCAACTATTGAAACGGGATTTTTTTATGGAAAATAGGAATGCCAACTTCCAATACATGAGCTTAATAGTTTGGAAAATGAATACTGTACATCTCGATAATAAGTTCCATAAATGATAAACAGTAACAGAGATTCTTCATTCATCTGGTCTGAAAATTTTTCATCCAAATAATGAAATATTTTATTTAAAAAAGGGAAGATGTCTTACGGATTTACATTTATCGTGCACCGTGATGAATTAACGTTTGAAAATGAGATCATAAAAATTGATATGTTTATCTGTCCTTTATCACAGCACAGAATTAATTATTTCCTAGCATTTTTAAAATTCAAATCTCATTAAACCAGCAAAAACCTCACGAAACTGGTTTTGGAATCTCATGGATGCAAATGAATCACTTTTATGTGAGCCTCGGTACCATGAGAACTCCGCAGCATATTTTTCAAAAATCTGCAGAAGTTTTTGTGCGCAATATTTTTTCATGAAAGACCGTTTTGTTTCGGATCGAGTGGATAAATATGGCACGAAAGTTCAACGCAGCTTCGAAACCGCAAATTACCGGGAAATCCTGGGAATAAAGATATGAGCATGAATATTCGCACGCTTGTGTGTGACGAATTATCTCGACGCTATGGTCGAATAAATTGTGAAATTCTGTCCAAGATTGGCAACACTTTTGTTTACATCTCTCTTTGTGTGTCAGCATTCATACTTCTTGTTATCTGCTTTATCGTTATCTCGGATAAGGCACCTCACTTCACAAAAAGTTAGTCCCATTTTAGTTTTCTTATCCGATAAGGCAAACCAAGGGCGCATATACAGTACATGCATAAAGTTGAGCAAACAAACTTACATACTCTGCTCGATTCGTTCTCGTTACACTGACTTTATGCCTCTTTTCTGCGCTTGGTTCGAGTGTGTTCGGGTGTCGATGGAAGTTACTCTGGCACGGCGCGACGACGACGATGCTCGTCACTGACGTCGCGCGCGACTCCACAGGTCGATTTTTTTCCCTGTCACACCGCGGGATCTTCGTAAAGATTTCCACAAATTTAATTTAGGGAATCCTGAGGGAATAAAAGTGCAGTTCCCACACAGAACTATCCGTGTGAATCATTTTATTTTTATCAAACCGTTCGGATAAAAATCGAGCTTGGAGAAAAGTTCCAAGAATTTTTTTTTTCAAAATCGAAAAGATATTTTTTTCAAGAGCAAATTTGAGGCAAGACACGTGGGATGAAGGACTTGTCAATACACCTTTGAATTTGGTTTGTTTTCATGGTTTCTATCATGAAATTGAGCAATATCTTTGAATTTTCTGATCGCTATAATTTCAACACAAACTGTTTGGCATTAAAAAAGAGCAGCCGATGATGTCGCGAATTTTTTAGTTCTATTTTTAGAGATGGCAGTTTGAGAACCCGAATTCTCGTCCTTGAGGACAAATTCCACAAAAAAAAAAAAAAAAAAAAAAAAAAAAAAAAAAAAAAAGAAGAGCTTCTTTAGTTCTTATAAGTACAAACCTCTATTCATTTATATATATAAGTGCAACTCCAATCGCTTAAAAGTGCTAAGGATATCTAAATCTGCGTGTCCATTTCTACCCTCTCAGTATACTTCCTCTTCGAATTGACAAGTGTTTATATTCTTCAAGTGTATATTTAACTGTACTATATATTCAAATTGACAAGTGTTTATATTCTTCAAGTGTATACCTAACTGTACTATATATATTCAAATTGACAAGTGTTTATATTCTTCAAGTGTATATCTAATTGTATTATATATTCAAATTGACAAGTGGTTTATATTTCTAAAAAACAAGTGCATAAACTTCTAAGTGTATATTATACACCCCAAGTGTATTGTTCCCATCTGCGTGCTTTCATTCTCTGACCTACTAGGTCATCAAAAGGAACATCTGAAAAAAAATCATCATTGGAATAGAACACACCCAACAAGCAAAACCTTTTTTAAAAGAGTTAAAGCTCTCAATTTCAAAATGGCAAGAAAATTTGTACAAGAAACGATTTAGGAGGATGCCACTGGTGAATAAAAGGGGCTTCTTTATA